TCCTGCCAAATGGCTAGTGCAAAGTCTGAGACGCGTTTCACCCCTTCCAGGGGCTTTTTCAATCGGTATTTCTATTTTCTTTAATACCGGCGGCTTTTTCTAGTGATTCGCCGGTTTACTTCCGGGTTCCGGCCAGTCCTAACTTGGAACGCAATGTGCGTTCCAAATTACTTCCGGGTTCCGGCTACCTTCTATTTGCAACGCAACGTGCGTTCCATTTGGCCGTTCGTCTCCCACGTACTTCCGGGTTCCGGCTACCTTCTATTTGGAACGCATCATGCATTCCATTCCGCAGGAATTCGTCTTCCCCCTATTTCCGGATTTCAATGTCCTTCTCTTTGGGACACAGAATTGCATTGCATATAATAGTTCATCATTGGAACGCACACCAAAAAGGTTGTGCGTTCCATTCCAAATCCGGCCAGGACAAAGGAAAATTGTAATTAAATGGTTGTAACTCATATAACATCATATAAAATTCATATACATCAAATAATATCTCGTATATACATATATATATGTGAACAGTAGGAGGTGATTATGAGTCTATATTCTGATTTTGCCTTATTTTAACTGGATTAAATTCAGATTTTGAGGTTTGCCATTTTTTTAAATTGCACAATAATTCACTTTTTAAATTGCATGTTTTTAGATTATGTGTTATTTTATTTTTTACACCATAGTGGTTGGGGCTACTATCTCTTTAAATGAACGCTAGTAAGGTGATTTTATAATTATAATTATTTGGGATTAAAGAACTGACATTTTTTGAAACACAAAACTATATGATGAGAGGTATTTAAAAACCGAATATACGGCAAAATCAGAATATAGACTCATAATTTCTTTCTGGTGTGCGTTCCAATGATGAACTATTATATGCAATGCAATTCTGTGTCCCAAAGAGGACATTGAAATCCGGAAAGAGGGGGAAGACGAATTCCTGCGGAATGGAATGCATGATGCGTTCCAAATAGAAGGTAGCCGGAACCCAGAAGTACGTGGGAGACGAACGGCGGAATGGAACGCACGTTGCGTTGCAAATAGAAGGTAGCCGGAACCCGGAAGTAATTTGGAACGCACGTTGTGTTCCAAGTTAGGACTGGCCGGAACCCGGAAGTAAACGGGCGAATCACTAGAAAAAGCCGCCGGTATTAAAGAAAATAGAAATACCGATTGAAAAAGCCCCTGGAAGGGGCGAAACGCGTCTCGGACTTTGCACTAGCCATTTGGCAGGACTTGAATATAGCACTTTAGCTACAGACTTTTAGAATATTGTCTTATTTATTGTTTTTTATTGATTATTTTAATAATGTATTTTTAATACTTTTTTGAATAAATATTTGGCTGTATATCCCATATTGAATCTTCTATCGAGAAGTCTGTTAAGCGAAGTGGGATTTTTTGGGGAATTCTGGCAAATTAAGTGAGAATATCCATTCATCTTGGAACCCCTTCAAGCCAAGAGGGACCAGCGATCCAGCCACGTGGTAATAGGAGAGGGACATCCTTGAAAAAGTCCCAAGGCGACATCAGTGAGAGCCACATATGTTTGGCTCTAGGCTTGTGAGTACTTCACTTAAATCTTACATTGCCTATTTGCATAGACTTTATTACACTATTTTGTGTTTTGCATATATCATTTACAGAGATACCCAGAAGTGTGACCTACCTACTATTGTATGTATTTATTTGTGTTATATTGAGTGGTGTGTGGTGTGTGGTTTGTGGCATCTTAGCTACCACACTTATTCCCATTGTTCTGTTGTAGACATTCCTATTTTTTTTTGCTATTTGGACATGTTGGGCACTCAATCCAATGACAACAAGCAACATGCTAACATTTAAATTTGATTTAATAAGGAGAAAGCAACTTCTGCCACCTCACAAATTATTTACTAAAGAGAATTTTACTGAATTTCAAAGCAAATTTTAAGGCCAAAATAGCTAGGCTGGAAACATTTTCAAAGTCATCTATGCTCTACTTACTTACTCACTCTACTTACAGCTGAATGAAAGAGGTCCTTCACCTTAACAGTGTGGCCGATTTCCAAACCCGGAGTTCCTTGGGCAACTAGAGCTTTATACAGGTGCCCAGTTAACCTCACCCCTGGAGTGATCCTGGTCCACACTTAGGAGGCTTCCCTGCTATATCAGGACTATTTGGTGCTGCCACAAGAATAATCATCATAGTGGACGCTGCTTTTGCCCCCAGTCATGGCAGCAAGACATTCAGTATTATGTCCAAGCTAGACAGAATTTTCGTAAATTTTTGGTGGAAGATGAAAAATCGAGTGCATCAACCCGCTCCGCTGAAGCCAGGTGGCCACTCACCTCAAACACCACCACCATGTCCCCATCATGAGTCTGCGACTCTAAATATTGAGAGGGCTCAAACATGGTAATGGAAACTAGAACATCCCACCCCTGAGTACAGACCAGCAACAAGACTCGACACTCGACGCAAGACTGAGGTACGGAATACTGCCACTTACTTACACCTAGGCAAAAATGCTGGAGGCACCTATTTCTGTTGCAGGACTGTGTTCTGCATAGGCTGGTCTGGGCTCTGAGATCGGATGCTTGTTAGCACAGTGCCACTTACCTCTACCTTTTAAAAGAGTTAATGTGGAGGAATTTGTTTTGGCATTGTTCTTGCTTTCTTTTCTGTTGATTCTTCTGTAAGTCTGTTATTATTATATTACCAATTTGGGGGTCTCCTGGGTGGATCATTATGATGGACAATGCATGCCACTTCCTTTATACTTAACATACCTAGGCATGTGAATACTCAACACTTGACAATACTAGTGAAAAACCCTGTAAAAAGTGCTGAAAGAAAGGAAAATGAGAAGACACCATGGCTATCATTGTATTGTTATGACATTGCATAACAAATTAAAATTATAAAAAAATATATATAAATCTGTAAGCTCACCCTTTGTGCTCCTTCCTACTAACATTCATTTAAAAAAGAATATTTATTGAAAAAATAAATCTCTTCTGTACCATTTTAGAAAACCTTCAATAAACCTTTGTTTTTTTTAAATGGCAAAACAGACCTGAAACATGTCAGCACCAAACTTATAAATCAAGCAAGTCTGAATGTGTAACAAGTCATTTTTAGCAGAAAGTCTAACAATATCCCAGCGATATAAGAAGAAAAACCAAGAAAGGGAGGAAGGAACAGGACAGGGGGAAGGGGTAGGCAGAGAGCAGGAACAGGAGAAGGTGACTGGCAGCAAAGGTTATGAGTTGCAATCCCTGGTGTGAGCGATTTACCCACATGGCTGCATTAAAGCATGGCTGTTACCTCTCCCAGAATGAGCATTTAATAAACATTAAATCTTTATGATATGCTTGTTAAAAATCTCCCTGAAACTCCAAAACAGGTCTCCATTACAGGGTAAGGGCTCTCTTTCGCCACTTGAGTTCCACCACACCAAACTCGTCATACCATGTCACTCACCATGGACCTCACTTTGTAAACAGTAGAGCAGCCATAACAGAGCAAGAAAGGGGTTTAACCACACTGTTGTCACAAAGATCTGAATTTAATATTGTTGGATAAGCTTTCCAAATCATTTAATAACTTGGATTTAAAAAAAATAAAAATATTGAAATTTAAAAATATATAATATATATAAAAAAAAATGTTAAAAAAAATGTTATATCAAAAACTCTTATTTTACAAAATTAAAATATTAATGTTAAAAGTTATCCAAATATATTAAAGGGACACTATAATCACCAGAACAACTACAGCTTAATGTATTGAATTAAAGAATTGAATAATGCTTTCCTGTGGGGAGGTCTAATACGTGCGCGCCCATTGCCGAGCATGCGCATTAGGTCTCCCCGCCGGCTGAAGTTGGTGGGGGAAGAGCGTGGGTGGAGCCTGACCTAGTGCCAAGGGACATCTGAGCTGGATTCAGGTAACTCACTGAAGGGGTTTTAGTCCCAACAACATGGGATGGGGAAGGGAGGGAGAGGGGTGCTGCAGTTAAAGGGAAACGGATGTGTTTTCCTGGCACTGGAGAGTCCCTTTAAGGGGAGGAAACTTCCTTACATTTATTATTGTTCATATATTCAACCACATTTATAGATGGAAGTGGAGTGTGTGCTTTAATGGGTCTGTCATAGGCATAATCATAATTTTGGACTCCATTGTTCATCCTCCACCAACCTTTACTGTAGACAATATACATTCCGGTAGGTAGAATTTCCTGGTATCTGTCACACCAACATTCTTCCACAACCAGACAGTGCAGTGTAATTCATGGCTCCAGAGAATGTTACTAGTGCTCCATGGCCCATTGGCAACGCCCTTTCCACCACTGCAGCCAACGCTTGGTAATCCCCATGTTGATTAAGTTTCCACACGGTTGCTTGGCTGTGGAAACATCAAATAAAGCTTCCAACACATAGTTCTTATGCTGATGTTGCCTCGAGTAGCAGTTTGGAACTCTGTAGTCTGTGATAGAATAGATGATAGGTGAACAGTCAAAGTTTGAGATGCAGGTCTTTCACTTCCACTTAATAGCATTTGCAGTTGGCCTGAGAGATTGGTTGCATTCTATGGGTAGTGACATGTTTGCGGGTCACTGATCCCTTTAGTACAACCCATAATACCTTCAATATTTGTGTATGGAGAGTTCATGATGAAATTTATGCACTGGTTAGCAATGGCCGAAGCACATGGACTCAATAATTCATAGATACTTTTGGTCACATAGTTGAAGAGAATTGGCATTACATACTTATTTAAGAAACTGTCCACTTCTACGAGGCTACATCGAATTAAAATGTTTAGTAGTGAATGTGAACAGTCGCTAATGCACTTTTGGCACAATGTGAGCTTCAGCGTGACAGCATTTGAATAACCCCTCAGCTACAACAAATGTCACTGCCAGTGGAAACTACAGTACCAGAGGCCTGCACAGGAAGAACAAGAGCCTCTCGCATCTTCAACTCTGTTACTCCCAGAGGCTTAAAAACACCTTTAACCCCTTAAGGACACATGACGGAAATATTCCGTCATGAGTCCCTTTTATTCCAGAAATTGTGTCCTTAAGGGGTTAAAAAAAAAAAAAAAAACATTTTTAATAATTTCTGATATTATGCTGAATAAATCAAAATCAATGTGCTTTTTCATGTGCGAGCATTTTATTGTTTGTGTTCAGTGTTTATACAGCCATATTTTAACTTGTCATTTATCTACACTCCTCCAGTTTCATCAATTAAAATTCCGTTAGGCGAGTAACAGGGAATTTTCAGTACTGGAAGTCCTACACACAAAACACTTCTTAATGGCCAGTAATTGGAATTTGTGGTTTAATATCGTTAATCAGTTCTTAAAAAAAAAAAAAAAAAAAGTTCTGCCGATTGAAATCTTCTTAAAGGGACATTCATCACTCTTTGGGACAACGATCATTCAAAAGGGAAACTGCAGGCACCCAGACCACTTCAGCTCCTTGAAGTGGAGTGGGTGTTGTGACCCTTTTGCACTTAGTGCTGCAATCTAAAACATTGCAGTTCCAGAGGACTGCAATGTTTGCATTGCAGCTCTAAGTCTGCCCTCTGTGGCTGTCTAGGGGGACCTATTAAACCTATAGTGCCAGGAAAACAGGTTTGTTTTCCTGGCACTATAGGATCCCTTTAAGCTTTCAATGAGACAGTTGCACCACTTTGCAAGCTGAAAAGAGCAGGTAAATACATAAATAAAAATAAATTAAAAAAAAAAGTCATATTTACATGCTTCGACTTTCTTATAAAAAAAAACAACGCAAAAACACAATAAAGAAATGTTATTTTATTTGATGTGACAGGTCATTACTTGAAAAAAAGAATAAAAAGTTTAAATAGTAATAACTGTGCCTATTCACATGGATGTATCAACGTGTCCATTAGCCTGGAGAAAAAAAATATATAACAGTCTCTTTTTAATATAAAAATATCATTAGCCCTTGTGATATATTTAATCTGTCCCTGCTGGCTTGTTTCGCTTTCTTTTCCTCTTCCTTTTGGATTGTTCGGGAGCGGGTGCTGTAGGCGGCCGTGCAATTTGTTTCTTTTTTTTCATGCAGCTTAGAGGGTTAGGACCAGTTACGCGTTTTCGTTTTTTCCCTCTGCGTTCAGAATCCTTTGCCACCCCCTGTTCTTCTTTGAGGTGCTCTATATTTTTCTTTTGGTGTACCGGTACCAGCTGGCTGGTCTGGGCAGTCTGAACATGTGCCAGAGATTTAGGAGATGGCTTGTCCAATACTATGGTGTTTTGAATAATAAACATCAAGGGGACACCAGCCCTTTTCTTTAATTTTGTTGACAATTCCTGATCCTGTTAAGAAAGGAAAGCAAACGATTTCAATTATAGCAGAGGACAAAGTTATTTTATAGTAAGAACAGATGAAAAGATGCGCAGACTTTGCAAGTAAGGGTCGTAAAAAATAAAAAAATAAATAAAAAAGGATCTGGAAACTTTATTTAGAAAATCAGGATATTCAGGGCTATAATAATTACTAGAGCAATTTTAACAAGCTGGTGTGGTAGATGGATCTGTGCTTAGTGTATGAAGCAACCTAATGAAAGAAGTTATTTAATCCAGTGAGTAATTAAGACACGGGGGAAAGCAGCCCGCTGCTTCACAAGAAAATGGTCATTATCATGAAATACAGTTTCACTTTTATTATGGTGCGTGAGCAATAATGAGATGCACACATATACAAAATTAAACACTCAACGCTTATAGACATGGATCTAAAAGATCTATAAATAAACCAAATTCCAGGAAAGTATTTATACAGGTGGTACTGTGTCTTTAAACAGTAATATATCAACTAGCTGCAGAAAATTAACATTTGCCTTAAAGAGTAATGTATTCGTCCAACACAATCTAACATATATACTGTACTAAATTAGTGAAATAGGACCATAAACTAACCTGGGATCCCTGGTCACTACTAATTCCCCAAGTATAAAATTAAAGAAACACTATAGTGTCAGGAATACAAATGTGTATTCCTGATACTATAGGTCTAAATAGCCATTTGGGCCGCTGCCTTCCCCCACCACCTCCTCTAGTTGAAAAGGACCTGGTTGTGGCTGGCCCCGCCCCTTGAATGAGATCACACTTGATGGTCTCAGCCAATCCAATGCTTTCCCATAGAAAAGCATTGGGAGGCTATAACGCATGCACAGCAATACGCTTTGCTGCGTCACTCAGCATCTCCTCGATGCATCTCTATGGGGAAAGTTTACATAGAAACATAGTTTGGCGCCTCAATGCAGAGAACATGGTTCAGCACTGACCCAGGACACACCTCTACTGACTGAAAGACTGCCACTAGAGGGGTTACTAGGCAGTAATGTAAACACTGCCTTTTCTCTGAAAAGACAGTGTTTACATTTAAATGGCAACAGGAACATGCTACACCAGAACCACTACATTAAGCTGTAGTTGTTCTGGTGACTGTGTCCCTTTAAGAAACAGTAGGCACACAAAAATACAGTTTTACATTTTACAAGGCTACTTGAACTCGAGTATCTTAGCACACAGATATGGGATTCAGTTTCACCATATAGTGATATTGAGTTAAGCCCACCACTATGCCATAGTCCAACAATAATTTTAACATAGGAGACAAATTAAATTGTGCTAAATAAAATAAAGTGCATCCAATTAATCTGTTGTAAGAGCATTGTGAATAAATATAATGCAAAATGAATGTGATAAAAACCACAGTGTCAAAACTAAAAGTAATTGTGCTTTAATGTATATACTCACAATACATATGATATATCTGCTCTATATCAAATAAAAATTATTATTAAAGTGACAACTATCTAAAACCTCTTCAAATTCATACTTTTCTGTGATAGCCTCCAATGGGGCATCTGAAGCTGGAGGCTGGGTGGGGTGCTCAACCCAAAAGGAATTGAGGGCACACACTGAACATGCATTTCTAGGCAACAGTGCTGCCATAGAGACCAAAATGAATACAAAATGCAGATTAAGGAACACACACACACACACACACACACACACACACACACAAATACTTAAAGCGGCACTGTCATGCCGAACTTACCTTTCCTCAATCTCTTCCTCTTCTCCCCCTCTCTCAGGATCTGTTCTTCTTTTCTTCCTATCTTCTTTAGTTTTCTTTAAAATCATAAGACAAAGTAGGGACTCTTTGCCTTATGGAGGATTTCCGCTTGACCAGCTCTGACCAGCGGAGGAGCAAAGTGTGCTTCATTTCCGCTGGTCAGAGCAATTTTCCCATGATCCCTAGCTTTCCTCTGTGTTCCCACAATGCTTCCTGTCACTTTCCACAAAACTGCCGAATTGCGTTCTAACTGAATGAGAACAGTCTGTTCGTTTCTTTTAGAACGCAATTCGGCATTTTATTCGGATCGGAATTTAATTTAGTTCTTAGCCTAATTGCAGGGCGGGGCAAGGCTTTATAAGCCTTCCCCCGCTCTGCGGAGCTCAGTCTGCGCGGAGCCCTCCATGGGTGAAGATGGATTATTTTTTTGCGCTCGGGTTTTTTTTTTTTCGTCGGGTTTTTTTTTTGCGCTCGGGATTTTTATTTTATTTTCAATTCGACGGTTATGATGGTTTTTTTATTTGGCCTTTTTTGGGGCTGAAAAAAGAAGATTTGAGAAAAAAGAAGACGTCGAATGGTAAGTTTAATTTTATTTTACAGGTTAGTTATTTTATCCCCCCCCTCACTATTTTATACGGTGAGGGGGGTAGGTAGGGACTTGTTTTTTTTTTTGGGTGGGGGTGGGTGACTAGGGGCTTGGGGACCCCTAGTCACCTTGGGGGACGGGGGGGTAATTGACTTAGGGCCCCCACCCGCCGCCCAGGGGTGGGGGCCGGGGGGGAGGACAGTAGGTCCCCCCCCCCTCATTATCTTCATGGCCCCCACCCGCCGCCCAGGGGTGGGGGCCGGGGGGGGGCAGTAGGTCCCCCCCCCATTCTCACATATGGCCCCCACCCGCCGCCCAGGGGTGGGGGCCGGGGGGGGAGGACAGTAGGTCCCCCCCCCTCATTATTTTCATGGCCCCCACCCGCCGCCCAGGGGTGGGGGCCGGGGGGGGAGTAGGTCCCCCCCCATTCTCACTATGGCCCCCACCCGCCGCCCAGGGGTGGGGGCCGGGGGGGGGCAGTAGGTCCCCCCCCATTCTCAATATGGCCCCCACCCGCCCAGGGTGGGGACGAGAAGCAGTGGGTCCCCCCTCATTAACCCTAAAGCCCCCACCCGCCTTGGGGGGTGGGGGGGAGTACTGCCCCCCTCATTCTCACTATGGCCCCACCCGCCCGTAGCCAGGGGTGGGGCGAGCTAGGACAGTAGGTCCCCATTCTCATTATCCCACCCGCCCCAGGGGTGGGGAGTAGTCCCCATTCTCACTATGGCCCCCACCCGCCGCCCAGGGGTGGGGGCTGGGGGGGGGCAGTAGGTCCCCCCCATTCTCATTATGGCCCCCACCCGCCGCCCAGGGGTGGGGGCGGGGGGGGAGTACTGCCCCCCCCCTCATTCTCACTATGGCCCCCACCCGCCGCCCAGGGTCGGGGGCGGGGGGTAGGACAGTAGGTCCCCCCCCCATTCTCATTATGGCCCCCACCCGCCGCCCAGGGGTGGGGGGAGTACTGCCCCCCCCCCTCATTCTCACTGTTTAGGGGTGGGGGCCAATAGTTGTTTTTTTGTTGTTGTTTTTTTACAGTGAGCAGCCACAGGCTGCTCACTGTTTAGTGGACATGCCCCTACTCGCGGTATAGCGAGTAGGGGCATTTTGGAGATTTTTATCTCCCTTGTGCTATTATGGGGGTCATATTGACCCCCATAGAGTGAGGGGGGCCTGGGGGGCTTATGAAGTGGTGGGGAGCACTGCTCCCTGCCGCTTCTATAGTTACATATTACAAGGAGAGAGCTGCGTGCCGGTAGCTCCCTCCTTGTAATAACCTGCACGAACAAACTAACACTGATACATAGTGTTTGTTTGTTCGGCTGATCTTTCTATTCACTCATTCGTCTGTCTGTCTGATGGATGAATGAATAGATGAAATTCCCGTTCGCATGTCCAGGTGTTTCACTGGGCATGTGCGGGAATCTCACAGTCTGCCTAGTGTGGGCTGATGACGTGTCCCACAGGGACTTCACCAACCCACATAAAGATGGCGGCGCCCTGAATATAGATCGGGGCAGAAAATAAAGATTTAAAAATAGGTAATGTGGGGGGCTTAGGGGCATTTGGGGGTGACTAGTTGGTCAATTGGATGTAGTGGAGGCGGGAGGGGGGTTAAAAAAAAACAGAATTCGGCATGACAGTGCCGCTTTAAAGAGATAATAGTCAGGGTAGGGAGGTCTTCTATACAGAATCCCCTACTCTGAAATTAACACACCAAAGATACACTCCAGTGGTGTCTCAGGGCTTGACCCCTGTTGGTCTGTGAAATAAACTGTATTGTCCTACTTCCAGAGAAGAATTCTGTATGTAGGTGTTTACTGGAGAGAAAGGAATTGGAATGCTACACACCAAGTGATAGTTGTGGTTAGATATAGAATCCAAAGCCTAAATCGGCTATACCTCCTATAGAAAATAGATAGAAATAAAATAAAGAAGCCTCTCTCCCTTGTAATCTCACTAGACAGTCAGAGGTAAAAGAAATAAAGAAATCGAAATGAAGTGCTAATAAAATGAAACCATGCTTAAAAGTGCCCTGAAGAAGGTGCACATGTCTGTGCACCGAAACGCGCGTCAGGTTTTCTTTTCTCACAGGGCACTTTTACACATCTTACAAGCATGGTTTCGTTTGATTAGCACTTCATTTCGATTCCTTTATTTCTTTTACCTCTGTCTAGTGAAATTACAAGGGAGAGAGGCTTCTTTATTTTATTTCATTTTATTTCTACTTTATTTCTGTCTCAGTCTGTGGACATCTAATGAGCTTAAGCACAAGCTGAATTACTTTGAATTAATGGAAGAACCACAGTATGATTCTTTTGAAATAGAGACAGCAAATTAGGAATATACAAATACGTATTTCAGCTTCAGGGGCTGTATTTACAAATACAAGCTATCAACCCCATGTGCTAGAGGGTTCAAGCAATTGTTGCCAATTACACATTCCTTGTGTTACAACATTGTAAAAGTGTGACTATGTCCAAGTCAAACTTACATAGATACTTTGCTTCTATTTTTCCTTAAATCATATCAAAGCTATATCTGTACTTACCGTATATACTCGAGTATAAGCCGAGTTTTTCAGCACATTTTTTGTGCTGAAAAACCCCAACTCGGCTTATACTCGAGTCAGTCTGTATTATGGCAATTTACATTGCCATAATACAGACTGGGGGCTGGCAGAGCTGTTACTTAGCTCTCCTGTCAGCTCCCTCCTCCTCCGCGCCGGTCCGGTCAGCACCTCGGTCAGCTCCCAGTGTAAGTCTCGCGAGAGCCGCGGGGTCATAGTGCGGCTCTCGCGAGACTTACAGTGTGAGCTGAGAGAGGAGCTGCACGGACCAGCGCGGTGGAGGAGAGAGCTGACAGGAGCTGCAGGAGAGGTAAGTGCTTCCTGCCAGCCCCCCTCCTCCCCCCACTGAACTGCCAATGCCATTGGACCACCAGGGAAGGAGATACATGGCAGGGAGGGGGGACGAAAAATAAATAAATTAAAAATATATAAATAATAATAATAATAATAATTAAAAAAAATAACAAAAAAATTTAAATAATATTAATTAATAATATATAAATAATAATAATAAAAAAATATTTAAATATTAATAATATATAAATAATAAAAAAAATAATATAACAAAAAAAAAATTAAAATAATATATATTTTTTTATTTTTATAAAAATGCCCACCCCCCCAAGGCTCTGCCACACAAGCACACACTGCATCACACACACTGCACTCATACACACACACTGCATTTATGCACACACACTGCATTCATACACACACTGCATTCATACACACACACTGCATTCATCATATACACACACTGTAAATAAATATTCAATTAATATAATTTTTTTAGGATCTAATTTTATTTGAAATTTACCAGTAGCTGCTGCATTTCCCACCCTAGTCTTATACTCGAGTCAATACGTTTTCCCAGTTTTTTGGGGTAAAATTATGGGCCTCGGCTTATATTCGGGTCGGCTTATACTCGAGTATATACGGTACCTCTCACGGGGATTTTTCTATTGAATCATATTGACATAAACCAGTACAAGAGAGATTGTAGACTTTGAGATAACACATACTTCTCAATAGTATTTCACTATATTCCTCTGCTGAGTTATTGGTATTAAGCCTCCTGTTCCCTGTATCCTAGAAAAAAAAAAAATTTGACTCTCTACTATCCAATCCCCCTACATAGACATCACGCAATAAAGTCTGAAAGTTAGGGACATTGGAGAAATATATATATATCTTTGGATTCGATATCTGACCACAACTATCACTTGGTGTGTAGCGTTCAAATTAAGAGAATATACATTCTAATTCTTTTCTCTCCAGTTAACATCTACATACAGAGTTCATCTCTGGAAGTAGGACAATACAGTTTATTTAAAAAATAAAAAAAATACTGTTTTAAGTTTCTTTTTTTATTATTTGTTTGTGGAGATAGGTGATTTTAAGCCCTGTAAAAATGTTTAACTGTATTTTCTGTGTGTGCGCTGCTCCTTAATTTGTATGGCGTATTAATTCTGGTCACTACGGCAGCACCACTGCTGAGAAATAATCACCCTACCATTTACCTAAATGTGAGCAATCGAGCTATCTTGCAAAGTACTCTGTATAAAAGAGTTTCAGTGGCTAGACCTCAGCTCACGGCACTCTAACATTTGTATTGGTCTGTTTATACTGTACTGTCTTTCTCCCCAATTGAACAGCACAGCAGAATTTGTTGGCACGTAATAAATGCGAGTAATAATATTTCAAGTGTTCTCAACTGTATCATGACTACCTATCCCTTGAACCAGTGAGATATTGGCAGTAGCCAACTAAAGATACAAAACTACCTATAGAAATACTCCTTAACCTTTGGCTTCTTTAAATAAGGATCTTTCAGGGGAGACAAAAAATAAATAAATAAAAAAAATAATAATAATAAAAAAAAAAAATAAAAAAAATCTATTTATACAAAAAAAATGGACCAAAAGAGAAGGATGTGTGACAACTTGACCTTGATGGACCAGAGTCTCCTTCCATTCTACATTACTATGTAAGGTTTGCGTAGCACATATTTAACAAACTACATTTGTTTGTTTTTTTACATCCTAGTCTTACAAGTATGCTAATGAATTTACAATGGATTAAAGCACAGGGGAAATATGATACACAGAACAGATTATCATTTAGGAAAGAATACAGTGCTTTGTACAGCTTGCATTAGCATTTTGTAGAGAGGATTATGATTCAATGTGTGGATAACAGAAAGTCATCACAAGAAGACACAGAACATTCTAAGTGATGCGCCTGAATTGTTCCGTGCTCACCAAAAATATTTCACTGTCACAAGACAATGTCTATGTCAGATAAAGCCCGGTGGAAGGGAATTAAATCAATGTATACAAATCATTTCTACATAAAAATGGTAAAACTGGGCAGATAGGCCAATGTTTATTTCCAGTGTTAGACTGACACATTTGAGGCATCCTCCACTAATCAACCATAACACGTGCATTTTGTTTTGAGGTGTATAGAGAGGAATCTCTTAAAGAACCACTATAGTGCCAGGTAAACACTCGTTTTCCTGGCACTATAGTGCCCTGAGGGTGCCCCCACCCTCAGGGTCCCACTCCTGCCGGGCTCTGGGGAGAGGAAAGGGTTAAAAAACGTACCTTTTTTCCAGTGCCAGGCGGGGAGCTCTCCTCCTCCTCTCCGATCCTCCTCTTTGGCTGAATGTGCATGCGCAGCAGGAGCTGCGCGCGCATTCAGCCAGTCTCATAGGAAAGCATTTACAATGCTTTCCTATGGACGCTGGCGTCTTCTCACTGTGATTTTCAAAGTGAGAAGCACGCAAACGCCTCTAGCTGCTGTCAATGAGACAGCCACTAGAGGCTGGATTAACCCATTTATAAACATAGCAGTTTCTCTGAAACTGAGATATAGATATAGATATATAGAGATAGAGATATATATATATATATATATATATAAAAACAAAACTTGGACTTAAGGCTTGGGGAAGATTTTAAAGTGTGCGGGAGGTCGTTCCACAATTGCGGCGCTCTGTAGGAGAAGGAGGATTGGGCGGCTTTCGTTTTGTATTGAGGTAGACTAAATAAAGTGCTGGTACAGGATCGGGGGTTAGAGGAGGTGGGAACAGCAGAGGAGAGCATTTTGCTCAGGTAGGGTGGGAGTTTCCCAAAAAAGCGCTTAAACACAAGGCTGGAAAGATGAAGGGTGTGTCTGGATTCCAGCAACAGCCCATTTAGTTCTTTTAGCATGTTACAATGGTGGGTCATGTAATTACATTGTAGCACAAAGCGGCCGAACGAGTTATACAATGTATTGAATTTATTAATGTGGGATTGCGGTGCAGATGCATATACTACATCCCCATAATCAATAATTGGCATCAGCATTTGCTGTACAATCTTTTCCTTTACTGTAGGACTTAGGCAGGCTTTGTTTCTGTACAGGGCACCTAGTTTTGGATAAAGTTTAGATGCAAGTTCTTCTATGTGGAGGCCAAAAGAATTGCCACTGGAGTGATACTAAAAGTTATTCACTAAATTGAGAATTCCAAGTGAATTTCAAATCAAGGCCAAAATAGTCTAACTAAGAGCATATATCACTTGGAGAGCCTTTCCAATTGATCTATGTTGGCTTATATTTGTAATACACTTTTAATCCACCTGGAATTCTCACTTTAGTTAATAACCCTGTATAAAACCTTCAGTTATTTAAATGTGCGTAGGAATATGGGATAGTGCACAGGTGACTTTTTTTACTCTTTAAACTATATTGGGGCTGATACTTATTTTAGTTATTGCTGTTGCCCAGGAGTAGTGGGAGTTTAAATACAGGGCTTAATAATGTGTGTTAGAAGAAGGGGAGCAGCTGCATTGGATTAGAGCAGGGGTCCTCAAACTCCGGCCCCCCAGATGTTGCTGAACTACAACTCCCATGATATCTATGTAATTCAAAGAATCATGGGAGTTGTAGTTCAGCAACATCTGGGGGGCCAGATTTTGAGGACCCCTGGATTAGAGGTAAATTCAAAGTGTTCGGAATAAAAATGTGTATTCCTACAGCTATAGAGCCTTAGTCACCATTTAAGTAACCAGGCGCCCGCAGTCAGGGTTAACATACTCTTTCTCCCTCACAGAGACACTAAGGTTAAAAATACATCTACGTTTTTGAACCACAGACTGTTCCTTTAAAGATTTGATTATAGATTACAAGGTCTTCCCTTGCCATTTCACTATGGAATGATCGACTGTCTCAACATGTCAAATTGTAATCTTTCCAATTAACTATCTGTCTATTCCACAAAGACAAGGAACATGTTGTGCTCTTTAAATAAAATACCAGTTAGATGAAACAAGACTACAGAGCAGCACAGTGCTAAATGGTGGAAAAAGGGGACAGATGTAGTGTGGGTCCTACTTCACTATATAGTTTAAGAGACGGCTAAATTCTTAAACATAGTGCCTTAACAGCAAAATGCCACAGAAGAATTTTTTATTTTTTTTCCATAATTTATAGGTCTATGAGTTAAGCTTAGTTTTGTAATTTTCTTACGTTTTAAAATGGCGGAGTTAGCTTTTGTCATGCTCTCAGCTGGCACTAGTGACGACTGAGGGGAAATAACTGCCAGCACGGACATTGGCTCCTGACAAATGAAATGCCAGAAGGTGAATAGCACCTCGCGAAAGAATATGTCGCTATCCGCGAGGGACAGGTTCACGTAAATAAAAACTACCTTGCAATGCACCTTGAGGCCACCTCACTGCAAGGGGCAAAGTCACCATCTGGGATATTAGCAAAATATACAAAGACCTCAGAAGGTGACAGAGCGGCTTTAAATAATCAGTGATGTCAGGGAAGAAAACCTGCTGCATCTATAAATATATTCAGGTCAATCTCGATACCCACAAAATAAACTGACTTCTGGAATGTTAAGACACACATTCAATTCTAAACCATCTTTATAAAAGGAAACCGGTAACGGATTTTAGGGCTCCTGGAGATGATCAGTTTCTATTAATAGGAAGAGACTGCACAGAGCTGCATTGAACATATAAACACAAGACACAATAAAAGGATCCCAACGGTAATCTCTGTTATGGTTTGCTATAAATCTTCCACCTTTCCCTGTCTTACACTGTTTCATTGGTGACAGTAGCCATCTGGCTTTGTTCTACATCACTACCTATTTACTTAGATTCACATCACATTGTTGCTTTAAGTAGCTCACACAAAACCCAGTGATAGCTGATCTGCAGTACTGCAACTACAGTGGACTACATTACCGGTGATCTTACGTGAGACAAATGGTTAGATAGCATTTACTGCTATAAAGGTTTGCATGGGAGAGAAGCAGCAGGCCTTTGAACAATTAAAAGTAACATCTCAATATCTAGTGTCACTGCATCAACCGGTTATACACAAACCAAAACCAATGTATCTTCATAAACCATGATTACGTTACTGTCCTTTTAAACCAGAACTTTATCAAACCTGCTACAATAATCCTTGGTTAAGGAAAATGTGTATATGTCACCATGGGACTGAGGACACCAGCACTGTGAAGCAAAGAGCCACACTGGTACATAGTGCTATATTACAGCCATATCCTCAACTCTGTTTGCTAAAATGATAATAGAATGCTAAGAGAACAATCATCTTCCACACACAGTGTATAATCTTTCTCAGGATAAAAAAAATAAAAAATAAAAATCTTCCCCCTGTCAGAAAGAATCTAAAGACTTTTGGCATGTTTCCCCTCAACAATCCCTTAATACCCCACTCTATGCACTATAAACTACTACAGCTTATTGAACAGATTACGGTGCAAAGAGTCTATGGGCATTATCCCATGTAAGTGATTTGACGAAAAAAAAAAAAAAAATATATATATAAGTTTTGGCTATAGCCCTGCCTCTCTGTTGTGGCTTGATGAACTTTCACATTAGCCTGTTCAACCGTGGATGGCAATCCACGTTAGTTACAGTGGTTATGGTTTTCACGGTACCCCTTTAAATCTCCTTTATTCTTACTTGCCGTTTCTGCAAGGAAACTAGGATAGTCTCCTCAAATTATTGCTCTCCTGACCCAACTTCTGTTCAACTTTCTTGCTAAAGTTCAAGCTTTTGAAGAGCCTTGCCCATAGCGGTTTTACTACATCTCAATTTCACCTCTGCTTGACCTTCTTTAAATGTGATTTTATTCTTATTTTTCACTTTTAGGATCTCGTTTTCTGGCAACTTCCCATACTTGTTACCGTTTTTATCAGTTTCGGTACTCCACTGTTTATACTATATCTTTCAACAGCATAAATGAACACTCCCATATAACAAGCACAATATAATTATAGTTGCAGGAGAGTCTGGGCGCCATCTTAAAACACAAATTCAAAACACAAACACACTTCTGAAAGTGTAAACAACATTTCTTTCCAATTTTATATCGCTTTTATTATAGTTGTCCTATGTGACTTGCTAAGATTCAAACCTTTCAGTTCTTCGCAAAGCTTTGTTCTGTTCAGTCTGCCATTGCACAGAGCTGAGGTGAACTAGCACTTTCTAAATAAAAATAATAACTACACAAATAAGCATCGCTCCGCTGTGTGTAGCTCACGTCTCTCACCCACAGTATGCACAGTTAGTCCCAGAGCTGCTCTACTTCCTGGCAACTAAACTCAAATCAGGTAACTAAGCAGGACGGCACATCCAGAAACACAAATTGTTTGCAGATGGCTTTTCTCACAGATACCTGTGTGGCAATGAAATAATGGTGCGGGTTGTTGTCTGCCGTCAGGGATAAAAGGCATGCTGAGCCACTGACAGGATCCTTGAAATGAGAACAACTCCTCACTTGAAATCTTTGGGCGATTAATTTAGCGCCGTACAGTTCCTTCCCCAAGGATTCCAGTTCCTTTAGAACGCAGCTGAAAAGAAACAAAAAGAACAATGTTATATTCCTGGGCAGCTCGGCACAGAATGAAATATTTCACTGTCTGTTATACGCCGATAGAATGATTCCTTGTGTTCAGAAAGCAATCTTTACTTAGAATAATGAACATGTCCAGCAAGGTCTGGATCTATCGGCCAAATGAATAAATGAAGAGGGCATTATTTATCACAGAAGAAATGTCAATGAGAAATCAATGTGTTCATTCTTAGGCATATAAATGGCAGCATTGCTTCAGTAGACAATGATGATACTACATAGGGGTCTACTTGATAAACAGTAATTTGTATGTCTTGGGGGCTGTTCACTGAAAATAAGTCGTGATGAAGCAACAGACACCTTGCGACATTTATTTCAATAGAGTACAGATGGAATAAAACAAATCTCCAATTCAAACGAGCTAATTTCAGATTTGAATATTTTTGTTCTAATTTGTCATGTCTCATGTTCACTCACAAGAACACAGCCGCAGTGTGAAATGAAGAGTGAACAAGAGAATTAGAGCCCCAAAGTCATATCAAGTGTGAGCTCCGCTGCAATAAAACCCTGTAACATGCATTAGGTACGAGAGCATCATTTTAAGAGCCACCTTTGAATATTTTTTGCTTGCACACACATGCCATACAAGATCCTGTATGGGCTGGAGAGAGGATGAAATACCAGGGGTGCCCAAAATGTAAATCCCACAGATGTTTTAAAACGATGAAGCTTTCTAATTTTAATGCATTCTAAAGGCATGCAAAGCATCATGGGAATTGGGCACCCCTGGTGTCCACTATGAAATATTTTACTGCCATTATAAGGAATTGAGTGTTAATAAGACAGAAGCGTAAAGCACTTCAGCTAAAAAGAAACGTACACTTTTATAAATTGTCTAGGCTGCACCAACCTAGCTGTCAAAAAGCTATAAGGGTGCTATACTACTCACTTATCATAGAGATGTGATGATGTCAATGCTTTACTCTGTGAGAAGTATTACAGATATAATGCAGCCAATATAATGTATGTGCCTTACAACGTAATGCTTCACTGTGAGAATCATCCTCTTTGCCAGGATCTCACCAGTACTGATGACCACACAGCAGTTGAAAGCAATGTTGTTAATCCCTTTTTAAGTTTTCTTTTTAGGAAGAAGGGGGACTGATCCACCTTAGCGTTATCCCATTTCCCCTATATTAGGGGCAGGGCTAAAAGGTCACTCTGAGCACCATAAATGCTTAAAGGGATACTATAGGCATATATATAAAAAAAAATATTTTATATATATAAAAAAGTGCCGAGGTTCCCAAGTTAGGGGTTGTTAACTAAAGTGAATATAGTGCAATAGTTAATGTGCAGAGTAAATATTGTCAAAGGGTGACCGTACATACACAACACACCCAATATTTACCGTTGAAACTATTTTAAATACATTAAGGAGCTTTATAAAAAAAAAAAAAAATGGTATGATATAACCTCGCTTAGGTATTGGGACATGGTCTTTGCCTAAAAAATTGAGAGTTGTTAGTGGGATCTTTGTGTATTTTGGGTATACTGTATACACCCAAAATAAATATTGATAAAGTTGCAAATTATTATGGCTGAGGCAGTGTCAGATGCTTAGGATACGTCAAGTGTGGGCATATGACACCCTCACGTACTTTTAGTCACCCACATAGCAACCATATCTACCAGATCCGTCACACAATTACATATAAAACTTACGTGTCCATGTGGCTTGGCCTATATAGTCAAGACTGAAACGCCACTATGCGAACGGATCAGTGGACATAGGTCCAGCATATGTGTGGCATATAGAGATGGACGGCCGGATCAACCAGTGGCTAAACATTTCCTGGAATTTAAACATCCACTAACAACGCTCAAATTTTTAGGCAAAGACAACGTCCCAATACCTAAACGAGGTGGAGACCGTGGGAAGCTTCTACTTAACAGAGAGATGTTTTGGATATTTCAATTAGAAACCATTGCCCCACAAAGACTTAATGAGGTTTTATCATATTTTTTATAAGCTCCTTAATGTATTTTTTTATATTTTTCAGTTAATATTCCTCAGAGATTATTTGTTTGTGCTTGTTTCAAATATAATGTTTCTTTTTAAAAAAAAAAAAAAACAAACAAAAAAAAAACCAGTGGATATTGGGTGTGTTGGTTATGTATGGTCACCCTTTGACAATATTTACGCTGCACATTAAATATTGCACTATTGGGCACTATTTTCACTTTAGTTAACATCCCCAACTTGGGCACTTTATTTATTTTTTACATAGATTTGCTGTGTACAATATGTGTGTCTATTTTTATGGCTTTAAATATAATATAAGTCCTGCTTTGTTTGCCCTATCGGAACACAGCACACTCATTGTCCGATGGGTAGTTTCCCCCCATATGGAGTCTGCCGCGGCAATCGTAGTTTGTAGCAGTCGCCTAGGCAACAGAGATCATGTCCTTACGGCAAGTAGGGGAGGAGCTTACTGCGCACTTTGCACAGTGGGACGCTGGCGGCGGTACACGGTTCACCTGGGGTAAGTCAATTGTCTTATTTCACTGGGCTATATATTGTGGGTTAACTAGTTTTTAACAAATCCTTGATCCTGATGAATGTCCTGGACAGAGAATGAAACATTGGTCTGTATTTTTTAACTTGTTTCAATACATTTTGACTTTTTAAATGGAGAAGACCATGAGTGCAAGCTTTTCTACAGTGATTTCTACATTTTGTTACCCCTGCTGAATGCACCCGGCACTTTAATTAAAGGAGCACTAGAGTGCCAGGTCCCGCCCTTCCCTCAGGGCTGAAGCAGTTAAAACCCCTTCAGCCACTTACCTTTTTCCAGCGCCAGTGATCTCTCCTCCCCAAACCAATGTCGGATCCAGATGCGCGGCCAGAGCCGCACGCCCATTCAAACCGCCCATATAAAAGCATTACTCAACGCTTTCCTATGGACGTCAGCATGTCCTCAATTAGATTTTCGCATTGAGGATTTCGGAAGGGGACTCTAGTGGCTGTCAGGAAGACAGCCACTAGAGGTTGGATTAACCTTCAATGTAAACATAGCAGTTTCTCTGAAACTACTATGTTTACATCTGAAGGGTTAAAACCTGAGAGACCTGGTACCCAGACCACTTCATTGAGCTGAAATGGTCTGGGTGACTATATAGTGGTCCTTTTAACTACCGCCTGAGTGCAAGGAATATCCAGTACAAATATATATATATAAAAAATATATGACCTATACAGTGTGTCATAATTGATCATTATATATAATATGACCTATACAGTGTGTTATAATTGATCATTATATATATATATATATATATGACCTAGACAGTGTGTTATAATTGATCATTATATATATAATATGACCTAGACAGTGTGTTATAATTGATCATTATATATATATATATATAAATAATATGACCAGTGTGTTATAATTGATCCAAAAAAAAATAAAAAATTATATTATATTAATATATATATATTAATATATATATATATATATATATCATGAACTTGGCACTCACCCTTTGTAAAAAATCAAAATATTCTTGCCTGGGTGCCCACCTCTGGCGGTGATAAATATAAAAAATATAAACAAGGTGCACTCACAATATATATATATATTTTATGACCTATACAGTGTGTTATAATTAGTTCCGAACGGTTCGCGACATCACACATGTTATAATTGATCATTATATATAATATGACCTATACAGTGTGTTATAATTGATCATTATATATATATATATATATATAATATGACCTATACAGTGTGTTATAATTGATCATTATATATAATATGACCTATACAGTGTGTTATAATTGATCATTATATATATATATATATATATATATATATATATATATATATATATATATAATATATGAGCTATACAGTGTGTTATAATTGATCATGATATATATAATATGACCTATACAGTGTGTTATAATTGATCATGATATATATAATATGAGCTATACAGTGTGTTATAATTGATCATGATATATATAATATGACCTATACAGTGTTATAATTGATCATGATATATATAATATGAGCTATACAGTGTTATAATTGATCATTATATATAATATGAGCTATACAGTGTGTTATAATTGATCATGATATATATAATATGAGCTATACAGTGTGTTATAATTGATCATGATATATATAATATGAGCTATACAGTGTGTTATAATTGATCATGATATATATAATATGACCTATACAGTGTGTTATAATTGATCATGATATATATAATATGACCTATACAGTGTGTTATAATTGATCATGATATGAGCTATACAGTGTGTTATAATTGAGCTATACAGTTATAATTGTGATATATAATTGATCATTGATATATATAATATGAGCTATACAGTGTGTTATAATTGATCATGATATATATAATATGAGCTATACAGTGTGTTATAATTGATCATGATATATATAATATGACCTATACAGTGTTATAATTGATCATGATATATATAATATGAGCTATACAGTGTTATAATTGATCATTATATATAATATGAGCTATACAGTGTGTTATAATTGATCATGATATATATAATATGAGCTATACAGTGTGTTATAATTGATCATGATATATATAATATGAGCTATACAGTGTTATAATTGATCATTATATATATATATATATAATATGACCTATACAGTGTGTTATAATTGATCATGATATATATAGAGATATAATATGACCACATGGAAGGCAGATTATGGGCCAGGGATAGATGCGAGATGTTGGGGACTCCATTTCCCATGATGCTTGGCCAGGTAAAAGGCCAGAGAGGCATGCCGGGATATGTAGTCCGCAGCGGCCACGCGGCGCTCGGTGTGCGGAAGCTGACATACCGGGTGGTGCAGAGCTGCACCTCTCCCATCAGGTATTTGGGCAGCTGCTCCTTGATCTGGATCTTGTTCCTCAGAGCCGCCTGGCAGAAGGTGCCGTCCAGCAGCACCTGGTACGGCTGCCGGAGCCCGAAGTTGTACTTGTAGAAGGTCAGGGTTTTCTTGGCGGTTTTCTGACGCTTGATCTTCATGGCGGCGGCGGAGGCTGGGGGGTGGGCACGTCACCGGGAGCAAGTGACGTCACTGGGCTCCGGTAGCGCGTGGTGCCCTCGCCGTGTCGCGTGGGAATGACGTCACGTGATCACGAGCCTGGCTGGTCTGTGACGGTCAGCCCTGGGAGGGCGGGAGCGGTGCATGCCGGGAGGGAGACTGATTGGCTCAACCTTCTTTTAAAATTACCTTATTCATTAATTTTATTTATGATTTATTGATTTTAAATTTCACTTTTTAAATACATTTACCCAATGTGTTATATGTAATAACAGTTCATTATTTATTTTTTTATTATTTATGTATAATGATTTATTTATTTTCATTTTTATTATTATTATTATTATTTTTTTTTTTATAATTCTTTATTTTTGCAGTGCAGTAACCGGTTCACAGACTCTGTGTGTATATATATATCAATAAGAGGGGGGTACAGCTTGTAGTACTAAACAGTAATCCAGACACAAAACAGAAGTAGTAGTATTGCGCAATTTTAAAATAGACGAGCCCTCCAATATTATGTAGAACTATGCGAGGGTCTGGGTCTTAAAGAATAAGGCGAGTGTGAGCTCTGTGGTTTGTACTTCTACAGGCTGCAAGGTTTCACTCTCCTCTATCGAGTGGGGAGGGCGTAGAATGGAAGGGTTATTTAGTTGCATATCACGGTAAGAGTTGATAACCGTATCAGTATCTAGGCTCCATGGTAGGAGGCCCAAGTCCTCTCTGGTCACCAGTAGAGGGTATGTGAGGAGTATTCGACTTGTTGAACAATGGATAGTGACGACCCCTAACCCAAGGGGGTCACGGAGGGTTGTCAAGGCCCACTTAAGGAATCTTAGCTAGCAGTGAATTAAAGGGAAACAAGAGCCAAACGTGAAGAGATAAATCATAAAGAATGAAACAAAAACATAAGCCTATATATTGCTTGGTAGCTCAGGCTGTTATCATCTTCATATAAAGTGCTCAGGTCACTGCCTGCTGTTGCTTCTAGGAACGAAAGGTACAGTTCTCTCTGGATCCCATGCATTAGAAGTTGATGGTATCTCCGGTGCTCCGTTGCAGTCCTAATTTTTGAAAGAAGGCTGGGGCCTCAGATATAGTGGGGAGCTTCAGGACGCCATTTTCTCGGATAACCACTAAAGTTTTCGGTAGTAGCCCTCTGTATTCCACTTTCTCTTTGCGTAGTTGTGTGGTCACCGAGCTTAATTACTTTCTGCAGAGCAAAGTAATCTGGGTAATGTCTTGATAGAAGGTAAGTTGTCATGACTCAAAGTCAAGTGGGGTCTTGCTGCTAACAGCTGGTAGAATGCTGCGTTTGTCCGACATGGAGTGGCATTGGACTATGACGTCTCGTGAGGCTGCTGGAGGTGCCTGTTTGTCTTTGTTTATGCGAAAATGGCTGTTGAATTCAAGCTTCTTAGCCTGGACCTGCAGGAGGAGCACCGCAGTGAGCCTTTCCAGATACTGTGGCAATTCGGTTGGCCCAATTATATCTGAGATTCCTAGAATTTTGACATTTGTGCACCGACTGCGGTCTTCCATAGTGTCTAGTGTGGTTTTGAATACTGTATTTGCATACTGTAATTGTCGCAGGATATCCCCCAAGCTTTTCACTTCTTGGCGATATGCAATGGTATGTAATTGTTTTTTAATTCATGTAAATTACATTTTTTATTTATTATTTTTACATATCTCTTTTTGAAAGCCAGATTCTCCTGTTCTAACCATCTACTGCTCAATGTAACTTGCCTGCTGCTGTGATTGTCCTGGGTGAAACTGCAGCAACCGGCGAGTCTGACCCCAACATAAAAAAGGTGACATTTTCTCAAGAAAAAGGAAAAAGAATCTCATGTTTCTTTAAATGTCATAATTAATTTTTTTTTGAAAAAGAGAAAATTTGATGACAGTTGTCCTTTAGCTGCAGACTGAACTGTCTCGTGATCTCCCACCTGTCAGAGCTTTGGGTGTTAGTGGGGGCCTAATGTTTGAGTTTCGCCTAAGGCCTCACAAAGTCTAGACCCGCCACTGGAGCCAGCACAAGCCAAACACAGCCCTGGCCAATCAGCATCTCCTCAAAGAAATACATTGAATCAATGCATCTCTATGAGGAAAGTTCAGTGTCTTCATGCAGAGGGTGGAGACACTGAATGCCAGTCACACTGTGCAACACTGTACCAGGAAGCACCTCTAGGAGCCATTTAAGGAGTGGCTAGTGGAGGTATCCCTTGGCTGGAATGTAAACATTGCAATTTCTCTTAAAACACAATGTTTACTGCAAAAAGCCTGAAGGCAATGCTTATACTAACCAGAATAAATACAGTAAGCTGTAGTTGTTCTGGTGACTATAGTGTCCCTTTAACCTTCACTTTCCATAGGGCATGTTCACCTCATCAGCATTATGGGTACATTTCGTAAGAGAAAAATAATGTACTAATGATCAATGACCGATTTTTTTAATTTTATTGAGCAGGTTTTCTCATTCATCAATTTTAGACCTACCACTGTCTAGAAACATCTTCCAGAAATCCCCCTATATACTGTATGAATACAAACAGGAAATATTTTAAATTACCATTAAAGATACACTCTGGACCACTAAAGCACTTCAGCTTCAATAGTTATAGTAAAAATTGCAGATTTCAATAGGAACTGGCACTTTTGTAAATTAACCTTGTTACACCTCCCTGGTTGTCAGTCAGACAGACACCTGTTACTTCAGTGGAGCTAAACTCAAGAGGCAGCAATTACCCAATGCTCTTGCCTTACAAAGACCTTTCATTGAGCTGCATTGGGAAGTCTGTGAGTGTACAGTCACAAGCTTTGCAAGCTGTTTTTAGACATATCCCAAATTAAAAATGCATCAGTAAATGTATATATGTTTTCATTGGGAGTAAATCTACTAAACAGTGATTTTAAAAAATGGGTTTTTTTTGGGCAGTGAAATGTCCCTTTAAGTATGATTATGTTTTAATCTGCACTTTGTTTTGCCCAACAATGCTAGATAAGTTTCCTGTGAATTGTTTTGTAATTGGTAAATACATAAAAAAAGCTTCATGCATCTTAATCCACCGAGGAGCGGCCAATTCTGCATAGCAAAGAATTACAACAAAATCATCTCAAAACCTTGAGCAGGAATCCTACATCCCGAGAAAGCAATTTTCTCTTGTTAAAAAGCTCTTTTCAGAATTCGCATGGAGATGATTGGTTCCCAGGAGTTAAAACATGTTCTATGTGGACGCAATGTTCTGACAGAAGCTTTGTGAAAGAGAATAATATTCTAAAACCTAAACTATATACTTTCATACTTTTTCTACAAACTTATTAAATTCTTCAAAAAACTGAATTACTTTGAGTGCACTACAAGGTCAAATGTGTGTTTAATATAAATGTATTTAATTCTGTGAGTGTTCTAAACATTTTTTTTATTTCTAATGTTGATGTATGCTGTCCACCTTGACGGACAGAGAACAAAACATAACCTCAAACATTTAGTCGTAGTACAGCAATATAGTACAGTCATAGACTAAACATTTGAGATTATGTATTATTATTTCCTGTGATTTGTTACCCAATTTGAATAACAAAGGAAGTGAAGCTGACATTGTCGCATTCATGAACATTTAATTCACCCTGGGTTTTCGTCACCATACCACTCAACATTTCAAACGGACAAAGAGGGACACTTTAATTTTGGACCCATATACCACTAAGCCCTCCCACCCTCTTGAGGAGCCCACCAGCCCCTGGCTTTTTGCTACGCATACATAATTTTTTCAGCATGGTGCCGATCGATATGTCCGAACGCGGAATGGTCCTAGGCTAGAGGGCTGCCCAAAAATACATTGCTGCCTACTATTGGTGGTATAAGTATCAGCACAGTGACAGACATGCACTATTCTTTTACAAAATGGAGCTTTGCACATCCTTTCCATTTCCGAAACCCAGCGCCTCTCACTAGAAGAATAATGTGTTGAATGAATATTAAATTATTGTTCAAATATAACGCTGCACACAGCTTCACAGCAGTAAATTAGTATTTAATCCGAGTAACCCCTCCCACAAATACAGGCAAATTGCCTTAATACATATATATTTATATATAGTCATGGGGAAAAGAAAGTACACCCTCTTTGAATTCTATGGTTTTACATATCAGAACATAATAACAATCATATGTTCTTTAGCAGGTCTTAAAATTAGGTAAATACAACCTCATATGAACAACACATTACATATTACACCATGTCATGAATCATGTAACAAAAGTACACCCTTACTGCTTCCATAGGAATTAAGAGATCAAGTAGCAGACAGGTGCTGCTAACCAAATGCATTTGATTAATTAAAACAAACTTGTTTTCCTGGCACTATAGTGCCTTGAGGGTGCCCCCACCTTCATGGCCCCCCTCCCGCCGGGCTGAAGTTGGAGGAAGGGGTTAAACACTTACCTTTCTCCAGTGCCGGGACCCGCGGACCCGCTGGGGACTCTCCTCCTCCTTTGGACATCATCGGCTGAATGTGTATGCTCGGCAAGAGCCGCACGCGCATTCAGTCAGTCATAGGAAAGCATTCTCAATGCTTTCCTATGGACGCTGGTGTCTTCTCACTGTGAAAATCACAGTGAGAAGCGCGGAAGCGCCTCTAGCAGCTGTCAATGAGACAGCCACTAGAGGCTGGATTAACCCATATGCAAACATAGCAGTTTCTCTGAAACTGCTATGTTTACAGCAGGCAGGGTTAACCCTAGAGGGACCTGGCACCCAGACCACTTCATTGAGCTGAAGTGGTCTGGGTGCCTATAGTGGTCCTTTAATCAGTTTAGTGCGATCATCTCTATAAACGTTTTAGCAGTTTGCTGTTCTGGAGCATTAAGATGTATATTAACACAATGCCACTGGGGAAAGACATCAGAAATGATCTTAGAAAAACAATTGTTGCTGTCAATCAAACTGGGAAGGGTTATAAGGTAATTAAAAAAAAAAAACTGAAATCCATCATTCTCCAGTGAGAAAAGTGGAAAATATTCAAGACCGTTGCCAATCTTCCCAGGAGTGGACGTCCCAGCAAATTCACCCGAAGGTTAGACTGTGCAATGCTCAGAGATATTGCAAAGTTACATCTCAGAGCAAAGGCTTAACTACAACCCACGGGGCCCATGTGCAAAAATTGCCCTCCCCCATGTGTCTCATCTCCCTCTCCAGGCCTCCCCCCCATGTATCTCATTTCCTCCTCCCAGCCCCTCCAGCACAGTACAGCTCTCCCCTCTTGCCAGACACTCTGGAACCGAGGTCCCCTGGCCGGTGCACAGCCACCCCAAAAGTTATGCCAGCGTCCCAAAGATGCAGGAGCCGGTCACAGTGGCGACCCCTGCGACCGTGGTAGGTATGCCACTGTCTCAGACTCTACAGACCTCAGATAGCAAATTAAATGTTAGAGTTCATGAAAGTACAAGTAGAAAAAGGCTCAACAAGTATGGTTTGTTTGGAAGGGTTGCCAAGAGAAAGTCTCTTCTCTCTTATTAGAACATGGCAGCACGTCTTAGGTTTGCATCTGAACAAACTACAAGACTGTTGAAACTGTGACCAAACATGATATATTTGTCCATAATGCACAGCATATCACCACAAACACCTCATACCAACCAAGTTATATTCTTTGTTTTTGGGACTATGAGTTCCCTGCCAGTACAGTGCCCTCTGCGGTGCATTATGCCTACACAAAAACTTAGAGGAATAAAAATGTAAATTATCTATAAAATTAAGCTTGTATTTATTAATACAAAAAAGGATATGCTTACTATATGATACACTAGAAAAACACACCCTCAGAGAAGTGTACCTCACACACACACTATAAAGAATAAACACAAGGACGTATATATAAAAACCCAAAGGTGATATATACAAATAGAGGGTGGTTAGGAACAATACAACCTGGATATGGCTGAAAATGAATGTGGAATCTATAAAATAGCAAAATACAAAATATAGTGAAGGCAGTCTGTGTGTGTAATTAGCAGTCTGTGTGTGAATGTTTTCAGCAGTCTGTGTGTGAATGTTTTCAGCAGTCTGTGTGTGAATGTGTTCAGCAGTCTGTGTGTGAATGTTTTCAGCAGTCTGTGTGTGAATGTGTTCAGCAGTCTGTGTGTATGTATATATTGCAATTTCTGCAGGTATTAATAAATACAATACAACCTGGATATGGCTGAAAATGAATGTGGAATCCATAAAATAGCAAAATACAAAATATAGTGAAGTAAGTTAGGCAAAATTGGATTTGCACGTGGTAGAAGACTTACAAGAAGGGAGTAGTAATCACGCCTGTCACCCTGTCAGGGGTACTTTCCACATTGGAGGTCGAATATATATGGCGAGGACTGACAATATCACTTTTTCAGTCCTCGCCATATATATTCGACCTCCAATGTGGAAAGTACCCCTGACAGGGTGACAGGCGTGATTACTACTCCCTTCTTGTAAGTCTTCTACCACGTGCAAATCCAATTTTGCCTAACTTACTTCACTATATTTTGTATTTTGCTATTTTATAGATTCCACGTTCATTTTCAGCCATATCCAGGTTGTATTGTATTTATTAATACCTGCAGAAATGGCAATATATACATACACACAGACTGCTGAACACATTCACACACAGACTGCTGAAAACATTCACACACAGACTGCTGATTACACACACAGACTGCTGAAAACATTCACACACAGACTGCTGATTACACACACAGACTGCTGAGTACACACACACACACTGACTGCTGAGTACACACACAAGCAGACTGCTGAGTATACACAGACAGACTGCTGAATACACACACAGACTACTGAATACACACACACACAGACTGCTGAATAGACACACATTGCTGAATACACACACAGATACTGCTAAATACACACAGGCTGCTGATTATACATACACAAACACACACACACACACACACAAACTGCTGAATACACAAACAGTACACACTGCTGAGAACACACAGACACACTGCTGAGTACACACATACTGCTGAGTACACCCAGACTGAGGGTGCAGTGTATGTGTTTAGGGGTGCTGTGTATAAGTGGTGCCTTGTGTGTGTGAGAGAGGGGTGCTGTGTTTGTGTGAAGAGTGCAGTGTGTGAGGGGTGCGTGGTGTTGTGTGGGGGTGAGGGATGCTGTGTGTGAGAGGTGCGGGGTTTTGTGTGTGAGAGGTGCTGGGTTTTGTGTGTGAGAGAGGGTTGCTGTGTTTGAGGGGTGCTGTGCTTGTGTGAAGGGTGCTGTGTGTGTGAGCATTCAGGGTGTTGTGTGGGGGGTACTGTGTGCATGTAGGATGTTGTGTGAGGGGTGCAGTGCGTCTGTGTGTGTGAGGGGTGCTGTGTGTGTGTGTGTGTGTGTGTGCAGTGCTGTGTGTGTGGGGGAGGGGTGCAGTGTGTGGGGTGCTGTGTGTGTGCGAGGGGCATTGTGTGAGGGGTGCAGTGTGTGTGTTTGTGTGAAGGGTGCAGTGTGGGTGTGTGGGGTGCTGTGTGTTAGGGGAGCAGGGAGCAAATGTTTTTTTAAATATATATATTTTTAAATAATAAATAGCAATTTATAAAATATTTATGCTTCTCCCCCCCCCCCCACACACCCTTCTCCTTACCTTTGGGGAAGGTGGGGAGGACACTGCCAGCCCTGGTGGTCCGGAGGTGATCTATGATCTATAGCCTGCAGTCTGGCTGGAGGCTGTCTTCACTCCCACACGCAGAATGCTTCCTCACAGATCGCTCCTCCTTGCCTCCCAGGTCTC